CTTGTTCACCTGAACGTCTTCTCCTTGCGTCGGAGACATTTAAGTGGAAATCTGGTCGAAGTCTTCAGACAAATGATAAATGCTGATGTAGGCTTCCTACCTCTGAAATCCACGAGAGAACTAGGAGGCCATGAATGTCATCTAGAAAAGAATATAAGTAGGTTGGATGCGAGGAAACAGGTCTTCATCAATTGGGTGGTCAAATTCTGGAATCGCCTCCCCGGAAAACCCGTTCAACTAAACACAGTGCAAGCCTTTAAGATGGAATTAGATGGAACATGGGCCGAGATCTCTCCAGAAGTGACCTAAAACAGGAGGGAAATAAGCTCCTTCTTTTATTCTCCCCACCCTTACGTGTTACATCATGTGGTGCGCATGCTCAGGATGCATACGCAGGAGCTCTTACGATTAAGTGTACGTAAGTCTCTCACCGATACGGCGAGAAGACAGTTTGTTCCTTCGCATTTCAGCTTTGCCGAAAACAGACGCGACTCCTACTACATCCGAATCCCGTATCCTCGGACGGTCGAGGAATTATCAACGGTGCTGCAAGCTGGACGAGCATATAGCTTGATCGGTCTACCGACGAGGTCGAGCAAGAATCAGGACAACTGTAAGGCTGAGACCTCTACGTCCTTGAAGATTGGATTGAATTGGATTGAACCTGACCTGACCCAACGTGATCCTTCCAAGACTAATTTGTTTATTTACGTCCCTATAATAATTTGCGCCAATTGCGATTAACCCTTTTGCTTTTTTGGCGTGATGTAAGTAAAGTGGTTATGTTAAACCGCCTTCAACGCATGCTTTTGTTGATTAAAAATCAGCATTTATATACATTTGGGTAAAAAATAACATTGTACCTGAAATTAGTTATCTGAATGTGATCGTTTATAGATTGTGCCTGCAAGTACCCGGTTAGCATGGTTAGACCAATACCGGAAGCTTACCGACTGGACAGTCTTTTTGCTTTAACTGTGTTGACACTCACATATAATTTACTCGCCTAATGAATTATTTGATCTTTCCATTCCCATCCTGTTTAAACCATCCTGTAACTATCTCTTTTGCTGGTCATGAATAGTTAACCCACGCTGACACTTATTCCCGAGATGTTTTTATTTCAGGTCTACATTTGGGGCCAAGCTCGAACATCTTTTATCCTCTCGGGCAGAGATAATAAGTCGTATGCACCGCCCCCCAGCGGCTGAAGGAAATGATCTAGAACGTCTCCTGGGTTTGCCGTCTAATGGCGGACCCGCGTCATCCGCTCCACCACCGAATATGCCTATCTGGCCAGATGAGCAGTCGGCAGCGTTCTGTGCCGTAACTCCCCCCATCGAAACGTTCATGGATGTACCAGATGAGATACGGCGTGAACAGTTCTTCACGGTAAATTTCATTGTCACCGTATTTTGCTGAATTTTATACCTTTCTGATAAGGCTCTGCATATAGAGGTAAGCACTGGCCGAGATAGTGATTCAAGTTCGGAAGATGGTTGCTCGCGCTGTGAGAGCTTCCGAAGAGACATCGTGATTATTATGGGGAATGTGCAATGTAGGCTCATAATTAGAACGTGTCACGCTCTGCTTTCGTGTCAGTACTGCATTCACGGCGTATTGGTGCACATTAGTTCTTGTAGATTCTGGTTTGCTAAGCTAGTAAGAATGGGTGTCGTACCGCAATATACCTTTCGTTAACTAATTGATCGCAGGCTTTTCTTACTAAAAGTAATATTTCCTGCGTTTGGTACATCTTCAGACTGCCAGACGCGATGACATGCTCGTTGGCGTGGTTACTGTCATACAGGATTCTGGACTGGTGATCACGATTTTGGCTTATGATCAAGGACCACGTCGAGATTTCGATGGTCTGAAGTTAACGGTGAGTTATGTGCAGGGCGATGTTCACGTCACGCACTACCGAATGTACCGATGTTCTGCCACTGCCACCCAGAAGTTTATTTTTTCAGCCAGGTGTATGTGACTTCTTTACAGTTCTTACTGCTATTTGCAAACTGGTGCCACAGGCAAGTTCGACCGCTAACCATGAGAACGATTGGAAATAACATCTTGTTTCTTTGAACGAAACCATCGTTACCATCAACCATTATTTTGGTATAATCCCGGGCCTTGGTCACTAACTTTTGCCGAACTCCAGGTGCTTTTCCACCGAAGTGAGAGGACGAAAAACCAATATCCACGTTATAACCGGGTCGTTAAACCCTCGTCAGTTCACCAAAGAGAGTTGGCTTAACCAAACCAACTAAGGCGAGGCGTACGAACTACACATCTTCCTGGTTATTGCAGCGGTCACCGGCTTGAGTGGGCATCCAGGTGTATTTGGCACTTTGGACCCCGTCGAAAGGGCTAATGATCCGATGAACTGGACACCGCTGCCTTGCGGGTCAGACTTTGGCTAATCAAAGGCTCCGGTTGCGACTTCCCAAGAAAATTCATCTGCATCTTTTCTTTCTATAGAGATTATTGTACTGTGATTTGTTTGGTACACAGTCCGAGTCCCGACGTATGTGAAATGCAATACTTCAACGATTCAAGTTTCACATGTCACAAACCACTCAACTTCATCGATAAAGAGCTTCAATTTTCCTCCGTTCTGTACCACATTTGTCCCGTTAGAACCTTGGAAAATGCTACGTGCCACCTGTGGCCTTCGACTTTTTGGTTCCCATAGTTTGGAAATAAGATGCGTATACTCGTTTTGTTCTTCATGCGATCCACCCATTCTTCCATTAAACAGCGTTTGTGACTTCGATTCGAATCATCACAAGCGTTTGAATGAGGATATTGGGTTATTTACGTGTAAAGGACTGCTTTGAAGACGAAAACGCAATCCTAATAGCGGGATTCCGTTGGTTTTTTTAAGATTATCATTTCCCAACCAGTTCACAACCTTAGTATTGTACTACCCGAAGCCTGAAAGCCGATGCTTCATCCACAGATTTCAAGTGTTTACTCACCTTGTAGATACCATCCAACTCTATTTTGATCCTGGCAGGTCGGGACTTGTCATTTTTTATCAATCAGGGCTACTTCTGAAATATTCAATGCCTCCGACGGGCCTGAGACTCAGACCCACAAGCAAAATCCGCTGTGAAATGCATTGCTCTCCTAATCTGATCGCATTGCTCATGTACATCACGTTGAGGCGCGCTTAGCTCACGCATTAGCTCTGCTTCATAGCGTACACGAA